CACACGCTGGTCTGGGTGCAGGGGGAGTGGGCGTCAGGCACCCCGCGCCCCCTGGCCCCGCTGCCACCACCCCCTTGGCCCCCCAGCTCTCACCCTGAAGCGGATGTGGCGGAGCAGGTCGAAGTGCTGGGCGTACATGCGGAAGTACTCCATGATCTTGGAGTTGTGCATGTAGTTGGGGAAGTCCTCGGGGATGGGGAAGTCGCTGAAGCACATCATCTCCTTGGAGGTGTTGATGATGACAGAGCGGTAGATGCTGGCACGGCCGTCCTCGGGGTTCTCCTGTAGGAGTGGGTCACGGCTCAGCACTGGCCAGGGGATTGATGGGGAGGGGTGGCCAGGGTTGATTGTGCTGCTCCTTTACATGGAGACCCTGCCCTCAGTCTCATCCAGAGGACCCCACCGTGGCTGGCTGCATGCCACCCCACCAGACACCACGGATCCCTGGGGGCCACTGTGCTGACACGTGGCCGGCAGGGTTTACCTCAAACCTCCAGAGGCCTCCGATGTCCCGGCTCCTCTCGAAGCAGACGGGCTCCAGCCCCTCCTGCAGGCAGGCTTTGATGGCGCACAGCCCGCTGCTGCCCCCGCCGATGATGGCCACCCTCTTTGCCATGTTGGGCTTCACCACGGGATCTCTGCCTGGGGACAGCGCCGGAGAGTGGGGCTGGGGGTTGCAACTGTGCAGACTTTTGGCCCTGTGCACCAAAGAGGTCCCAAGTTGAGAGGAAGCCCCCCAGAAATTTGCCTGGGGTTTTGAAGCAACTGCTATTCCCCCCCAAGTGGGAACTGGCCACTGCTGGGTTTTGTACTATTGTGGTGTTGCCTCTGGATGCCCTGGGGAGAAATGCTACCGAGTGCCAGGCAGCCTGAAAATGTCCCTGCCCATGCTAAGTCCCAGCGATGGAGGTACACCAGAATACCGTGCCCCGTCATGGAGACCGACGGCTCCTTCCCAAGTGGGTGACAGTCCCTCTGCCTTGCCCTTCGCCCTCTTCCTTCCCCGAGGTGATGCCCGTCCTGCCGTCCCGGTGCCCACTGCGTGCTGACAGCCCGGGGAACACCCTCAACGGGGACACCCTCAACCGGGACACCCTCCACCGACCTGCGGCTGGGGGAGCAGCAGCCCAGGGAAGGCGGGCGGCAGGCGGGGAGCCCCTCGGGGGTCTTTGCCGGGTTATCCCGAGCCGTGAGGCCGGACCGCGGCCTGGCTTTGTGGTGCGCAGCGGCCGTAAGCGGAGCCTCCCCCTCCGTCACTCCTCCCACGGCGCCAGGGGAAGGAAGCCAGGAGCCGGCTGGCTGCCGGCCGTCTGCTCCGGTTTTCCGGCAGCGGCTGTCGCTACAGCCTCGACAGCGGGGTAAGGAGCCGTCCCGGGCACCGTGCGGGAAAGCAGACAAGCAGCCGATCCCCGTGGCGTGCGTGCTGAGTGAACAAACGCTGCCCTGAACTTTCACCTCTGGGATTATATGGATCAGCCCAACCCTGTTTATCCTGGTAGCCGGAGGCACGCGCGGCTCTGCTCCAGAGACACCCGGCAGAGCATCGCCCACTCCCCCTGTGCCCCTGGGCTGGGCGTGTCGGCACAGTGTCCCCATAGCCGCGGCTCACTCGTGGGCTACCCGAGTCCTGGGGCCAGCGGGACCCTGGTGCGAGGAGCACCACACTGTCAGGGTGTCACTGGTGCCAGAGTGCTGGGACCACTTAGGGAAAGGCTCTCCCCGACAGCAGGAAGCACAGACCATGTGGATCCAGAGCTTGCTGTTGGCTCCTGGCACACTCAGCCAGACAGCTCTTGGGGACTGCAGGGGAAATTTGCTCTCCCATGATGTCCAGGGAACTTCACCCCAGAGCTGAGCAAGGCACAGGGCTACAGAGGGGTCAAGATCTGCAACTGAAATGGCTTTGATCTTCTAAGCCTCACAGTATGTCTGCAGTAAGTTTAATAAAGCTCTTTCTGTACCTTGCTGTTGGCAAGGGCTGATCTCTGCCCGGGGCAGAGGTGCTGAGCTGCCAACCCGCACTCTGCCTGCCTGTCAAAAAGCATCAAAAGCATCTTACCAGGCAGGGGGATCAGCACAGGTACAGCAGTGTGGCAGCACTGGTAGTACTACTCTCCCTGCTCTGCTCTCAGCTGGCTTCTGGCTCTTCTGCAAGCTCTGCACAGGTTGCCCAAGGGTGTTAAGTACAGGAGACCTCTGAACTCTCAGCCTCACTGCTGTCCTATCAAACCTTTGTGCAGGTTGCCTCTAAACTGACTCTTCTCCCTACAGGAGGTTGCACTGCTCTGGACTTTGCCGTGCTGTGCTTGGGCTCATGCCATGGCATTTTGGTCAAGACCAGCTGGTTGATGTCCACGGGAAAGTTACAGTTCCCCATGCCTGGGAAGCACCCAGGATATACAGCATGGGGGGCAGTGTCTGCTCTGGGCTTCCACAGAAGGCAGGGGTGCCATGGGACAAGCAGAGCAGAAAGCACCAGTCTCCTCCTTCTTATCAGTGGGTTAGTACTCATCTTTGGAGGAGCAATGACAGGTGACAAGCACAGGAGGAGACCAAAGTCTCTTTGGTGGAGGTGGGAAGATGCAGAGAAGAGGTGAGAGGGTGGCTGGGCATCCTGTGACCCAAAAGGGCTGTGCACTGGTGGGTGCCACCAGGCAGCTCATGGAGGGTCCTGCAAGTGAGTCAAGGGCAACTTTTGGCACACACATGGGCTTTGGGAACAAGCCACAGGTGTGTGGATTTGCTGTAGTACTCCTCCATGACCTGGAGAGGAAGACTCCAACGACTGTAAGAATCGCTTGGATGAAATGCACCCTGTGTTTGGGAAAGAGCAGAGGTGTTCTGGCACATCTCAGCAAGCTCTGATCACCTCAAACTCTACCCACACTGCAGTGTGCCACTGCCACCTGTCTGTGCCCCTGCAACCACCACAGGGCTCGTCTCTGCTTTGGGGCAGGAGGGCTGGCCGGGGTGTCCAGGTGCTGCCGTGCACATGCTGAACTGGCCCAGCCAGCTGCCAGGCCTGCAGTGCAACCCAGGGGATTATTTTTTTGGTCACTGGAGCACAAACCCACATCTGGTAGTTTCACTGGCTCACCCTGGCAGTGGGTCAGGGCTCAGCTCTGGGGGAACTCTGTCAAGCACTTTCATTTTGGCCCCTGTATAACTGACAGTGGGTGACAGACAGTAACAGGGTGCTTGTGCCTATGGCCCTCAGGCTGCCCCTGTACACTTCATCCAGGGGAACAGCACACTTAAACACTGCCTGGTCTTAATATGACTTAATTGGTGCTTTCCAGAGCCTGAGTGCATCAAGAGACCTCAATGACCACAAGGAGCCTCAGCTGGACCCAGCACCCCACCCACATGCCAGGAGTGCTGTTTAAGCTCATTATTTAAGCTTAGTCTAGAGCCTTCACTCCCTGCCTGGCTCTGGTTCTTCTGCTTTTCTGGCTCAATCTCAACCCCAGCTCATTACAGAGGCTCCTTGTGGTCCCCTCCTGCCAAGGACAAGAAGCCCTCTGTGAAAAACAGACCAACGGTGCCAGGGCAGGTGGTGGTTGTCAGAGCCTCTTGCTTACCTGCAGGAGGTGCAGGTAAGGCTCACACCTGGGGCTGCCCTGCAGCCTGGGAGAGGGCATATTGCTGGGCTGTGAGGAAGGGGCTGGTTCTCCAGAATGCTGTCTGCAGCCTGGGAACATGTTGACCATGAGGAATTGCTAGGAATGCACTGTACCCCCTGGGAAACTGAAAATCCTATGGAGGGGAAGAGGAGCAGGGAAGCTCTGCACAAGGGCTTCAGGAGTAGGCTGCTGTTGGGAGCTGCTTCCCCCTGGATGGACCAACCCTTCAGTCCCACTGTCCTTTCCCCATGGCACTGGGGGCCAGGTGCCTGTGTCCTCATTGCTCAATATCTGATCTCAGTGCAGTACTTAAACTGAGAGCAGAAGGGAAGAGATTGTTTAGAAAGGCAGAGCTATTTATAACCCTGAGGAGAGACCCTCACGAGCCCCTCCAGACAGGTGTTACAGAGCAGGCTGCACAGGATATGCTTATGACAGCAGCATGATCAGTGTATTTATAGAATACAGATACATGGGTGATTGTAGACAAACCTCTGCAAAGTCACAGCTACCACATACACCATGGGCTATTGCAAGTGACCAGCAAGAGCATGCAGATTCACAGTATCATCAGCAAGCTGCCGGGTGAAATGTGCTGAGCCCTCCCCAGGCTCTGCAGAGACTGTTTTTTTTTGTCACAGAACAGTCAGTGCAGCTGTTTGGCCAGTGCAGACCCTGCCTGACACCTGACCAGGAGGGCAAGACAGCACCAAACATCCAAGTGCAGACCAGGAGCCTGCAGCACCGCTCATGTACAAGTCTTGGCCAGACTGACCGGGGTTGAGGGTGCGAGTTCAAGTCCCAGTATCCCCTCCCTTGTGCGTGCTTAGGAAACCAGCGCACGCCCCTCCTTTGTGAGGAGCCCGCCTGTCAGTGGTCCCAGAGCGCGAAGAGGGCGGGCGCGTTGAGCGGGGACAGCCAGCAGTGCTCCACCACGCTGTACAGGGCGTAGCCCAGCACCAGCCCGAACAGCACGTCCGTCATGTTGTGCCTGCCCAGCATCACCCTGGAGATGCTGACGATGAGGGCCCAGAGCACCACGAGGACGCGCAGCGGGACAGCGAGCACCAGGTGCCGCAGGACGAAGCGGCAGACCAGGGCGGCGCGGGTGGCGTGGCCCGAGGGGAAGGAGTACTTGTCCACCGAGATGGTGACGAACATGTCCATCTTGTTGTGGGTGGGCCGTGGCCGCTTCACCAGCCCCTTCACCACGGCCACCATCACCAGGTCCAGCAGCAATGCTAGGAGAGACAGGAGCAGTGGGTTACTGAAAGCACAGCTGTTACCTATGAAAGCACAGCTGTTACCTATGAAAGCGCTTGGCTGCCCAGACCTGCTAAGAGAAGGCATTGGCTGCAACACCCAGGCTGGGAGAGCACAGCACTCGTCTGCACTTGGCCTTCTGCAGCGTGACCACGTCCTCAACCTCTGCTCCCTCGTGCACCACCAGACCATCTGCCTGCCACAGCCCAACAGGGCTCTGCCAGGGCTTTTGTATAAAATCTGATCTCACTGTGACTCTGGGCTCAACCTGCCCCATAACCTGAAGGCAGCAGAGGGACAACTCCCTTCCTGGCAGTGCTGACTCAGCATTGTTCTGCCTGCCCTGGTGACTTGAGTTCAAACCTACCGGGTGAATGATCAACCCGCTCCAAGCACTCAGCCACAGCTCAGCGTGAGGGGCTCTGAGCTGGTGTGGTGCCAAGGGTCCTGGAGTCTGGCTTCTCCCTGCTGCTGGAGGGAAAGCTAACTGTGCTTTGGTTTTCAAGAGATGACTAAAGGATGATTTATGTAATGGCTTGCCCCTGAGAGGTAAAGGCTGTTCTGGTAGAAGATGCAAAGTACCTGTGAGAAGTGTTCAGCCAGTATTTGGCAAGAGCAGCTTCTCGTGCAGGTCAGAGGGTACTTTCTCTACCCCTGTGAGTTCTGCTTAGCCCTCACAGCCAGGGCTATTCTTCCAGGGAAGTCATGTAAGAGACCAGCTTCTGCTTGTCCTAAGGCTTGTTTCTGGACACCAAACCTTTTGGTCACTTCAGTTCATTTCCTCTGGTTAATCATTTCAGAATAAATATTTTTTTTCCTACATGTAAACCTAGATCAATGACTTTTTCTCTTTTTACATAGGATTTGGGAGATTCAGCTTGGACACAAGGGAACCCTCCTTCCCCACACAGGTGCTGCAGTCCTGGCTACAGGGTCCCAGAGAGGTGGGTGGCTCTGGCCCAGAGTATTGAGGGCTGGACAAGGCTCTGGTACGGGGACAGATCTCCTTGGAGAAGTTAGGCTGGAGGCCTCCTGGTCCTTTCTCACAGCTCTGCTGTGGGACTGTAATTTAACCGTGTGCTGCTAGATGAGAAAGATGCACAAGCCTATGTACTTCCCACCAAGCAAATTTCAATTCAGATTCTAAGTGTGAGATACTAATTATCTGCAACTTAATACAAGAGTAAGAACATGAAAAGGTCTGGTGCTCTAGAGCTACTACAGTTTCTAAATGAGCAGAAATGAAGACTCTATACCTAGGATACTCTGTGTGTGTGAGTGTGAAATATTACACAATGCAAGATTAAAATGCGTGCATTAAACCAAATTTCCTCACTGGCTGATACACATCAATCCACGAAGGCACTGCCTAGGCAGGGAGCCAGGGGTGCAGATGTCTGTGTGCCAGGGTAGCTTTTCAGGGAATGGGCTGGTGTCTCAACACTAGAAAGCTGCACCTAGAATGCAATGTTCTCATAAACTTGAAGTGCTAAAATATTTCATTCATCACCCTGAGAGCTTTGTGCAACTGCAGGAGCAGGGCAGCTGTTGGGAGTTTCACAGTGCGTGGTGGGAACTCTTGACAGGTGAGCCCTACCCGTGTCACCACATTTCCAGGGCTGCTGCCTCTGGTGCCAGGCACCCC